TTACCACTGTGGTAGGTAGAGTTTTCTCCTATCTCTTCTGTAGATATCATACCGGTCATCAAAAAGTTCACCATTCAGCACTGAGCCATTTAACCAGGTTTCTACTAATACTATAATATCATAATTACTACAACAAACATTTCAATAAAATTCTTTTGTTTTAGATCGAAGGCCTCTACAATTTTGAAAATATATTTTTAAACTATTGAATATTACAGTAAGGTTTTCCGAGTAAATGCACAAATTATTCTAATATACTTATTTTAAATATTACATCAATTTTTTTAGAGTTCCTAAATCTTTAATAACTATATATTGTGATTCATCATTTTTTCTAACGTATATTTTACCACCCCTGATCCAAACATACTTGAACCCTTTTTCCTTAGCCTTGATTCTGGTAGCAGCATGAAGTGCTTTATTGGAAGGCGATAAATGCTCAACAACATAAATCGCTGTCTTGGTACCCGAAAGCCCTAGGTGAGAACTGTTTAATTTGTCAAGATGATTATTTTTATAGAATTTTGTAATAGAGGCTAGAAATTGATCACGTAAAAATTGAGAAGATAGTTGTACAACAATAGAACGAGGGCGTTTGGTAGCAGGACTAATTTTAGCTGTGCGAGTGCAGTGTATAATATCGTTTTCTTTGACAGTATATCCTACAACAGTTCCATCCCAACTTTTGTATAATACAAATCAAGTTTTCATTTCTACTTTCTGGCACACAATGAAGTTCTAGATTATTTGCGCGCAAATGTTGCTCTGTTATATTAACACGTTGTTTCGCGGAAATAAGTCGCATGTTAAGTTCCAATACAATACTTTTCATTTTAAGGTTATCTTCAAGCAATTCCTTACTAGTTTTCTTAGCTTCTGCCTGTTCTCTCACAATATCCTCAAACCTGATATTTATGAAATTCATGGACTCATTAATTTCTTTCATTTCTTTTTTGATAGGTTTAAGTTCTTTGTTAATAATTTCCATTAAACTATTATTAATTTCCTTTAGTATACCACTTAATTCGGTTCTTATAACATCTTGAACAATATTTTTTACATCTGCGCCAGTTAAAGCCGTCGTATTTGACGGTGAATTTAATGCAGGCCTTTAAGTGCCTCTGCCGTTATTGATGTTACGAGTTGAATCTTGTTTTGAACATCTGGGAGCATTGTTTTTACATTGGGGGCAAATCCAATTTGATAACACTTCAGTTTCATTGATCCCCGGTATGGACAGACAGGCTAAATGAAATGATTTATTACAATCCATACAATCAATAATCTTCTCATTCTGTCCGGTCTCAATATTACAACATCCCCATTTACTCATCTTGCAATTTTGTTTGTATATATATATATATATATATATATATATATATATGGTAATATGCAAGTATATATTATAACTTTGCAATTTTCTATTCGTATGCTGAATGTATTTATTCCATTAAATTAAAATTCTAGCTCCTTTCTGCACTATGTACGATCCTCGCAGAATGATGTATTTATTACGAAAAGTTACTAATCTTTTAAAAATACACAAAAAGTGCAGCTCGTTGCGGATCGAACCAGCTTTATCGGACGTAGCGCATCAAGCACCAGAACCACAGGGCTAGCGTACTTAATTCTTATACGTTGAAATTAGTAGTCACTTTGTTTATACATACATACATAAACACTCACGCCTGTCACCCAGAGGGGTAGGCAGAGACTACAGACTTCCATTTGGCACGATCCTGACACACCTCTCTTGCCTCCTTCACATCCATACACCTACGCATACATGCTTGTCGGTTAAGGGTACTCCTAATTTGGCCCGTTTTCAATAAATCGCCAATTTGGTCGATAAATTTTTGCCTAGGACGTCCCTTTCCGACTCTGCCATTCACTTCTGCACCATAAATTTTCTTTGTCACTCTTTCCTCATTCATTCTTTCCACATGACCAAACCACCGAAGCATTCCTTTCTTAATCCTGGTCACAACATCATCTTGCAAACCACACTCTTCTCTTATTACACAATTTCTTACCCTGTATTCAGATTCAGCCCTAACATACTCCTTAACAACCGCATTTCTACTGCGTTTATTCTACTCTCGTGCTTCTTCTGCCACACCCAACTTTCACTACCATACGTTAAAGTAGGGACCAACACAGCATTGTGAATTGCCATACGTGCCTTTTTCGACACATTTTGACTCTTCACAATAGAGTGCAAGGCCCCATTTACTCTATTTCCCGCATTCACTCGTCGTTCTATATCCTTATCATATCTCCCATCCCTGCTAAATACGTAGCCCAAATATACAAACTCATCTACTTGCTCGATCAACTCCCCTTCTATTCTTATTTCACAAATCGTTTTACTTTCTTCTCTTTCAAAAACCATAACCTTCGTCTTACTTGCGTTCACTTTCAAACGCCTTTCTTTTAATGATCCGTTCATTAATGTAACCATCATTTGCAACTCGGCCGCCGACGACGCAAGAACAACTTGATCATCGGCGTACAAAAGGCATTTGACGGTTAACTCACCCATTCTTAATCCGCATTCTTCAACTTTCAAATTTTGCAAACAACTGTCCATAAATAGGTTGAACAGCCACGGGGAAGCCACACAGCCCTGTCTGACACCTTTATGGATGTCAAACCAGTCCGAGTAGACCCCGTTGATCCTAACACAAGCACTAGAGTCCATATAAAGAGACTCCAGTGCCTGTATCAAGCCAGCGCTCAACCCAAATGAGTTCAGTGTTTGCCATAGCAAATCCCTATCCACTCTGTCATAGGCCTTTTCCAAGTCCATGAACGCACAAAAAACCTTTTGGTTTTTAGCCAGAAACTTCTCCGCGATCATGCGCATGGAAAAGACTTGATCTGTACATCCCATTCCCTTTCTAAATCCCGCTTGCACATCCCAAATTTTTCCATCAGTTTCTTTCATGACCCTTTCAATCAGTACCTTAGCATACAGTTTTCCCACAATGCTAAGAAGGCTGATGCCACGGTAGTTTTTACAGCCCTGCTGCGAGCCTCTTCCTTTATATACTGGGACTATCACGGCTTTGCACCAGTCTACCGGTACCCGCTTCAGTTCCCAGCATAAATTAAACAAGGTGTGCAGCAGGCCTGCCACCACTTCCTCTCCAGCCCTTAGCATTTCGAGTGAAACTCTATCATATCCGGCAGCCTTACCTGCTTTCATGCTTTTCATTGCTTTCATTATTTCATCTATACTTATCTCGCTACCTCTTTCCTCTTCTTTCGGTATTTCTACTTCACTTAGTACACACGTTGTCTCCTCACTCATAAACACGCTTTCGAAATATTCCTTCCATCTCTTTAAACTCAAAACTTCACAATTCAGAATATAGCCATTCTCGTCTCTTATAGCATTCATCATAGGCTGTTTTGAATGTCCCCTGGCAGTTCTTACAAGTTTCCAGAACATTTTAATATTTGCCTGGAAGTTATCCGATATTCTTCTATCATTCTTATCCGTTCTTTCTTGCTTTTTTCTTTCAACTACTTCTTTTACTCTCTCATTAAGATGTCTAAAGACTGCCTTTTTCCTTTCAATATCACCATTCGTACCACTAGAATTAGCAGCCTTTGTTGCTAGTAAATCTAGCCATGCTCTCTTCTTTGCTTCAACTTCCATACGTATCTCATCATCCCACCATAACGTATTATTTTTCCTTTCATTCTTACTCTTACTAACACCACATACTTCGGTAGCTGCATCCACTAAACCTTTCTTTACATTTTGCCATATATTCTCCAAGTCTAACTCCTTCATACATAATTCATCCAAACCACTTATATTTTCTTTCAGTCTACATTTGAACTTGTTTTTATCACTTTCATCTTGTAAACTCTCTGTTCTAATACGCTGTAATGCAGTGGTAGACACAGACGATCGATGGCGCCAACGCCTGAATAGACCATTAATTCGGCATAAAACTAAATAATGATCCGTTCTTACGTTAGAACCCCGGTAAACTCTCGTATCTACCACTGCGCCCCTCAATCTTTCATCTTTGTTTATATTTTAATTTTATTCGTGTGGGGGGTAATGTAAGTTTATAACTCTATAAATACCTTCATCACTAAAAACAAATCTTGGATCACTTTAATTTTAAATACCACACTATAACGATAACCTGTAGCAGATGTAAACATAACATAAACATAACATATTCGTTAACACCAATCACTTTGTTATGAAATGTCTTTTACAATTAAAAAAAAACTTTAAATTACTGAGAGCGATATGACAACACGTCAACGCGTGACACACGTACTTCCAACATCCAACATCATCTTGTAAAATAAAGAAAAATTCTTTACCGAACTCCGCAAAAGGTACCTAAAATACTTTCAGAATCTCTGTTGTATACCCAGCGGCAGTTAAAGATAGAGAAGAGAAAGATAGAGAGAGAAAACCAGCCAAAAACATTACTGTGTCACCTCCACATGATACAGTTGCCAACACGGTACATTACGCATTCTACAAGAATACGACCATCGGCGCCATGTGCATTTTTTCTCATCTAGTGAGACATTCTTCCACTACTCCAATTGACGTCTCCGGTAAACAATATCTTGCAACTCGATGTGCCGAGTTGAGTTAGGCCCAGTTGATTCGTTTATGATTCAGAAGGAGGCTGCTGAGCGGTATTGGGAGGGCGGATCCCGTTCGGAGACGATGACGCCTAGGCGTGATGACGGTTCCAAGGGTTATATCTCTAGGCGCTCGTGGCAAGGGCCCCGACCCCTAATGAGAACAATGACTTGGTAGTGGTAACCCGAGACATCGTAATAGCCCGATATATAGATAGATAGATGTTACAATAATTATCCGTGAGTGAATAATGACGACACATACGAACCAAGTATACTGCAATTGAAAGATCAGTGCGTTTTTAAAATCATAATGTAATAAACGAAAATACGGCAAATTTATGTATGTATTTTAATAACATTTTATAGCAGACCTGTCTCCTCAAATCGACGTGCTCTTCCATCCTTTTTTTGTAAGAGGCCACAGTCGCCTCGAGAGCGGCCGCCTTAGCCGCCGTCTCGCGCAGGGCGTCTAATTCATCCTTCAGAGCTACGTTCTCTGAAGCAGCCATCTGTTTTAATTAAACGTTTTATAATGTAGATCATAACAAGTCGCCGTAAACAACATCTAATGCAAATATATAAATAATATTACACTAGGTACATACAACTTTTAGAAAAGCCTTATCTGATCCAATAGGGCTATAATGGGAAAAATTTAGGCTCGCTCGCCAGTGCTGACGACCAATGGAAGAAATATAGAAAGAAAACACGTTTATTCAAAGTCTACAACACAAATAAATTTACGCTGCTGTGTGTCGTCTGGTGAATGTAGAGAACCGGAGTCTCTTTTTACTGGAAATGAGGCATTCTATCTTTGTGACAACGCATCTGAATTTTGATTCTTAACTGAATATAGATGTAGATGTCTATAGGCCATGCATCCATATATCATTAGGCAGACTGTGTGCTCGATTGTTACCCTTATTCTATAAAAATAAAGTAACAAAGTAATAATAAAAATTACACGTCCTGAATGTAATAATAAAATGACAATTTGTCAAGAAAAACCTAGATCAAAAGAAGACCATAAATTAAAGGCCTCAGTGACGATAGCAATGGTTTGACCTTTGTGTTTGATTATTCGGAAGCTATCGCTTGTGACCCTGGTCGAACTCGATCACCAATATCACCCTGTTTAATTTCATTTTATTAGGCAAAACATACCAAATTGCACAATGAGAACGTTTTTTTTTATTTTTATATTTATATTACATATTTTCTCTACCTCTTCTCCATTCAATAATAAGCAAGTGACAAAACGCTCTGATATGCATTATATCATCAAGTAGATTATTTTTTGTTCAGTATTTATAAATAGAACTTGATTTGAAATTTTAATGAATGACAGCAGCGATAGTAACTGCAATTACCGCGTTAGATGTTTAGTTCAGCAAGCGTGAAATAAGATTTATATAACATAGAGTAATGAGCTCTCTAAACATTTTAAATAGTCTCCGCCTACAAGCCTGACAAGGAACCCGTCGGGATCAGAGGCTCGTCATATTTTTCCATAAGTACCAACATGAAATCTGTAATCATAAATTCTGATAACTTATTTAAATCTAGTACACCACATATTTTTATTAAAAACGTCAAATGACGACAATCAGGTTATATGACAAACATGTATAATTGTTTTAATATCTTATATAATAAAGAAACATTTTAATTGAATGGTTGCATGATTTAAATCAAGTAACATAATTACCGAAACATACATACTTAAGCTACATTGAGAAAAAATAGAAAGTCGTTTAGAAGCGACTTTATTGCGTAACATATTGTTTTTCGCGACAATGTCTACTCTTTGCGAATGTTTGACCATACGAAATTAGCAGTACAAACGAAAACAAATGATAGACTATTATGTGTTTGACATTGGTAGTATAAATGTAAACAACGAATGTTTTATTTAATGTATTTGTAACACACTATATATAAAATTTAGCTTTCTGAACTCCTTCTCCATGTAAACTTTAACTATGCCAAATGTCACACTGCTCCGTGCGCGCAATATGCTTAGAAAGGGGTCCAAAATTTTCTCATCGCGTATTATTAATATACTATAACACTGACTGCCTCGTTGGTCTAGTGGCTGTAGTAGTGCAATTGCTGATCATGAGGTCCTGGGTTCGAATCCCGGGTCGGGCCAACAAAATCAATTATTGAGTTTTTCCGTCAAGAAATTCTCAGTAGTTGCCCAGAATCAGGAAGTTGGCGGTTTCTCACCCCCGTGCCTCGGAAAGCACGTAAAGCCGTTGGTCTTGCGCCTGATCTCTCTCCGAGCGTGTCGGTTTACCGTCCTATCGGATTATGAGAGTGAGGGAATAGAGAGTGCACCTGTGCTTGCGCATACACTTGGGCACTATAATCCTGTCCTGCGCCAATGGCTAGCCTCCGTTGAGGCAGGCCGGCGTGGCCGAAATTCGGTCTGAAGGACATTATAACACTATCGATCCGAACCGACTTCGCACGGGTGATTTCTGGATATTAAAAACAGCCCCACCTACTGGATCCAATTGTGAATCTATACTATCTCGAATCAACCCACACCTCTATCACATCTAACAGTTTAGGTTTATACACACGGACAGAAGAATGTTACGTATAGAGAGAGATATTCAGTGACCTGCAGTTCGTCGTTCTTGAGGCGCAGCATGGCGAGCTCGCGCTCGAGCTGGTCGGCCCGCGCGCGCTGGTCGTCGCGCTGCAGCTCCAGCTTGTCCAGCTCGTGCTTGAGCGCGTCGAGCTGCGCGCGCATGTGGCTGTAGCGCAGCGTGCCGGCGTGAGCAGGCCCCAGCGACGCGCCCGCCTCGTCCAGCTCCCGCTCCACCAGCTCCTCCCCCGACTCACCGCCCATACCTGCCCCACCTAACCCTCCGCCCGACTGAGACGCCGTTAACCGGCTAACCTCGCTTAACAGCGTCATCTTCTCCTCTTGAAGAATTTTCACCTGCGTCAATCAACACTGAGATAGAATGGTTTCTGTCAACACGAAAATGCTACAGGATTTGCATTAAACAATCATTCTTCTATTTTAGAAAACACCAGGGAAACGAATCATTAGCATCATCAATAGCCTAATGCATTGCTAACTGTCCAATGCACACCATGCATATCTTTTTGGTAAATAAGTCCTTACCACGCTGAGACAGGTGACTGACTGACACTGACGTTCAGTGAGCGCAGAAACAGTGTCGATACACACGTACTAACAGTGAAAGGAAGATACTCACTGTCGACCTAAACAATTAATATGTACGCAGTGTTTTTGGTTGAATGTTCCACCACCAGACGGTCGCCAGAGCTTTGTAAGTAAAACTCGAGATAGAAACTAAAAATCATTAATAAAACAGATATAGCGATAACTTCATCGCCCCGCCCAAAACTGAACAAGTGGTCATTTTGCAAATTAATTCAATCACAGACGACACCATTCAAACTTCTCCTAATATATTCTTTACTCAAGTTATACAATCAATACAACGTTAACCTTGTAGATATCATCGCACGGGTGTCGTGACGTCATAGGAAAACAAACAAGTCTTCCTAATACCAACTAGAACATAAACTGTGGTTGCAAACAGCCTGCCGAGCGTGGCAACTACGCCTTGTAGTGGCAGTTTTAATCGAAAAAATATCCAGTACCTCATATCGTCCCACGGGTGTCGTAAGTGGCGTCATAGGAAAATAACCAAGAGTCTTCCTAATACCAACTAGAACATAAAAAAACTGTGGTTGCCAACAGCCTGCCGAGCGTGGCAACTACGCATTGTAGTGGCAGTTTTAACAGTAAGAACATCCAGTACCTCATATCGTCCCACGGGTGTCGTAAGTGACGTCACAGGAAAACAAACAAGTCTTCCTAATACCAACTAGAACATAAACTGTGGTTGCAAACAGCCTGCCGAGCGTGGCAACTACGCCTTGTAGTGGCAGTTTTAATCGTAAAAATATCCAGTACCTCATATCGTCCCACGGGTGTCGTAAGTGGCGCCATAGGAAAATAAACAAGAGTCTTCCTAATACCAACTAGAACATAAAAAAACTGTGGTTGCCAACAGCCTGCCGAGCGTGGCAACTACGCATTGTAGTGGCAGTTTTAACAGTAAGAACATCCAGTACCTCATATCGTCCCACGGGTGTCGTAAGTGACGTCATAGGAAAACAAACAAGTCTTCCTAATACCAACTAGAACATAAACTGTGGTTGCAAACAGCCTGCCGAGCGTGGCAACTACGCCTTGTAGTGGCAGTTTTAACCGTAAGAATATCCAGTACCTCATTTCATCCCACGGGTGTCGTAAGTGACGTCACAGGAAAACAAACAAGTCTTCCTAATACCAACTAGAATATAAACTGTGGTTGTAAACAGCCTGCCGAGCGTGGCAACTACGCCTTGTAGTGGCAGTTTTAATCGTAAGAATATCCAGTACCTCATATCGTCCCACGGGTGTCGTAAGTGGCGTCATAGGAAAATAAACAAGAGTCTTCCTAATACCAACTAGAACAAATAAAAAAACTGTGGTTGCCAACAGCTTGCCGAGCGTGGCAACTACGCATTGTAGTGGCAGTTTTAACAGTAAGAACATCCAGTACCTCATATCGTCCCACGGGTGTCGTAAGTGATGTCATAGGAAAACAAACAAGTCTTCTTAAAACCAACTAGAACATAAACTGTGGTTGCAAACAGCCTGCCGAGCGTGGCAACTACGCCTTGTAGTGGCAGTTTTAACCGTAAGAATATCCAGTACCTCATATCGTCCCACGGGTGTCGTAAGTGGCGTCATAGGAAAATAAACAAGAGTCTTCCTAATACCAACTAGAACATAAAAAACTGTGGTTGCTAACAACCTGCCCAGCATGGCAACTACGCCTTGTAGTGGCAGTTTTAACCGTAAGAATATCCAGTACCTCATATCGTCCCACGGGTGTCGTAAGTGACGTCATAGGAAAACAAACAAGTCTTCCTAATACCAACTAGAACATAAACTGTGGTTGCAAACAGCCTGCCTAGCGTGGCAACTACGCCTTGTAGTGGCAGTTTTAACCGTAAGAATATCCAGTACCTCATATCGTCCCACGGGTGTCGTAAGTGGCGTCAAAGGAAAATAAACAAGAGTCTTCCTAATACCAACTAGAACATAAAAAACTGTGGTTGCCAACAGCCTGCCGAGCATGGCAACTACGCCTTGTAGTGGCAGTTTTAACCGTAAGAATATCCAGTACCTCATATCGTCCCACGGGTGTCGTATGTGACGTCATAGGAAAACAAACAAGTCTTCCTAATACCAACTAGAACATAAAATGTGGTTGCAAACAGCCCGCCGAGCGTGGCAACTACGCCTTGTAGTGGCAGTTTTAACCGTAAGAATATCCAGTACCTCATATCGTCCCACGGGTGGCGTAAGTGACGTCATATGAAAAAAAAATACAAGTCTTCCTAATACCAACTAGAACATAAACTGTGGTTGCAAACAGCCTGCCGAGCGTAGCAACTACGCCTTATAGTGGCAGTTTTAACCGTAAGAATATGCAGTACCACATATCATCCCACGGGTGACGTAAGTGACGTCATAGGAAAACAAACAAGTCTTCCTAATACCAACTAGAACATAAACTGTGGTTGCAAACAGCCTGCCGAGCGTAGCAACTACGCCTTGTAGTGGCAGTTTTAACCGTAAGAATATCCAGTACCTCATATCGCCCCACGGGTGTCGTAAGTGACGTCATAGGAAAACAAACAAGTCTTCCTAATACCAACTAGAACATAAACTGTGGTTGCAAACAGCCTGCCGAGCGTGGCAACTCTTTATGATGGCAATGCCTTTATGAGGCAATCTATAAGAGGGCCTGTACTTAGCAGTGGGCTTTGATACGCTGTAATGAATGAATCATTGTCATCATCATCATTACAACAAGTCTACTACTGAACATAGGCCTCCTCCAAGGAATGCCACAAAGCACGATCCTGAGCCACTTGCATCCATCGACTTCCTGCATGTCTTAATAGGTGGTCACTCCATCTAGTGAAGGGTCGTCCTAAACTTTGTCTACCGGTACGAGACTGCCACTCAAGAACCTTTCTTCCCCATCGGTTTTCGTTTCTTCGAGCTATGGCCGGCCGATTCTTACTAATACGTTGGGCTGTGTCGGTCACGTTGGTTCTGCTGCGGATATTCTCGTTTTTAAGTTTTTTCACGCAGAGAAACTCCCAGCGAGAGAGGCTATCTCTATAGCTCGCTGAGCGACCTTCAGCTTCCTCATATGGCCAGTAGTGAAGGACCACGTGCAGATGCCGTGTAGTGACGGTAAAGAATACCCACTACCCCAAATCGTCCCGTGGGTGTCGTAAGAGGCGGTAGAGGGAAACTGAAGCAGGAGATGGGCAGCGGCATCTTTCTGATAACAGCAATAGCACAATAAAAACTGCGGTTGCCTACCCGCTCGCCAAGCGCAACTATGCCTAACATCATCCCATGAGCTATGACACAAATAAATGAATGATGAAACAAAATTATTGCATATGATGTCACACGTTCCTCGTGACATCCGCGTTAAATATTTTCTTTCGCAGTCAAGTCGCAGATTATTGTTCACATTATTCGTCCTGTGAAGTGTTATTATGCCTTAATAACAAAGCAACAAGCAGTTTGTTGATTTTCGTGTCGCGGAAGGTGCAAGATGTTTGTTTCTGAATTAAATTTTTAGCTAAACTAATATGCAACAGTCAATTTATTGATTTTACAGTTACAAGTAATGGGAGCCGTGGTAGCTCAGATGGTTAGCGCTCGCTGTAAATTTCACAGTAAACCGGGTTCGATCCCCGCCGGCACCAATGAAATTGTTAATTGCAATTTTAATTGCTGATTTACTACGTGCTCGGCTGTGAAGGAAAACATCGTGAGGAAACCTGCATGTCTGAGAAATAAGAAAAAAAGACATGTGAAGGTGACCAACACGCATTGGGGCAACGCGACGGACACTTCCTTGCCCTAAAACCCTCTCAGAAATGCCTGTGCCCAGCAGTGGGACGTATATAGGCAGTAAATTTAACTTTTTAATTTTAAGTAAAGGGAAAATTCTCTTTGAATATAGTTATTTCTATAAAAAGACACAATCTTCAACTTTCTGTTCTTAAATAAGTTATACACGAAAAATCGCGTGATAATAATTTATTAAAAAATACCTGGTTATCAAGCTCATGACATCTCTGTGCAAGGGCATCTCGCATATCAACATCAGTTTCAGCGGCTGCCGGCTCCAAGTGTAAGCTGCCTCGATTCGGTCCCAGAGTCAATGTCTCCAATTCCTTTCAAACAATGGTCTAACATGAAAATCATGACACCACACCACACTTCACCAGGGTAACTTTAGGATATCTTTATAGCTCACTAAGAGTAAAAACAATAATTGTAAAAGTTACAAAATATCCGACAGTTTTTATGAATAATTTTTTACACAACAATGGTCAGTCTCGTAAAAAACAAACGTTGAAAAAAATCTTATATTGCGACAAACTGCTAGAGATAGTGAAACTAATAGTAAAAATAAGACTATCTTGATCTAAAAGTGCAAATAGCACGAAACTAGAGTGTAAACTGATGCATGTAACATTCATAACGCCAACATTTTTTCGTGATCCAAGGACGTTAAATACGCGTAACAAAAACGTACGTAGTTCTTGAGTTCGACCGTCTAACGAGCATGCACCCCGCTGAAAGTGCTGTTGGGTAAGTTATTTGCTTAATACATTTTTTGCAACATACATTACGCTTAAAATGAGTTATGTACATTGCAAAAATATTTCAATTAAAAATTGTAAGTAGCATTTATTATATTTTATAACGGTGAAGTTTAAATAAGATGAATAATTGCGCAGTGTTGTGTAGGCGTATTAATACGCCCAATATCTAATACTAACCCATATCATTCCGTGGGTGTCGTAAAAGACGACATAAAAAAGGAAACAGGAGATGGGCAGCAGCATCTTCCAAGTAACAACCTACCTACCTATTAAGTGTGGCAACTATGGCAAATATCCGCTATTAGACAATATACAATATGTAAACAAAAACCCTGTGGTTCCCGTTGAGTGCGTTATCAGAATCAGTACTCAAGCGTATAGAAATAATTTTATTTAAAAAAACACACTTAAAAAAATATTTAAAAAAATATTTGCAAATTGTATGTGGTTTTATTATCTCTGAATGGGCCGAGGAGTAAGAGGATTGTCAAAGATCGCGTATTACCGATACTCGTGTAGTGAGGTTAGAGGAAATAAAACCACATACAATTTTCAATTTTTTTTTAGTTAAATAAAAAAATATGGTTGAGTTTTATGAAAAAAAAAATATTTCTATACGCTTGAATACTGATTCTAATAACGCAATTAACGGGTAAAAAGGTTTGTTACTCGTTGTATATAAAAAAAAGAGAAGGCCAATCTAACGTTCAGCAGTGGACTTTTAATAGACTCTAAAGATTGTATATGTATCATATATATTGCTCATGGTTTGCTATATTCCTTACCAAACTATTCGTGTGGTGAAATCTACTGATCTATCGAGGCAAGTCTTTATGATGAACTCTTTCTTCCAGAAGCGGCCCCACAGGAAGTGGACCTGGTCGAGCCCAGACGGTTCGACAAAAAATTAGATTGACTTCATTATGACGACCAGACGCCAACTGTTCAGTGATGTCTCAGTGATCGCAAGGGTGAAAACCGGCAGCGATCACCGAATGGTTAGAGGCACACTGAACCTAAACGTTAAGTTGGAGAGGTCTCGTCTAATGAAGTCAACGCTCCGTCCCCCTCGTACTCTAATCCAGAATCCCGAGACTTTTCAGCTCGAGTTACGTAACCGTTTTCAGTGCCTAGAAGATTGCAATGCAGTGGACGATATGAATGACAAGCTCGTGGAAACTGTCCATGCGGTCGGAGCTAAGTTCTGCAAGACCCGCCGCAGAAGAACACAAAAACTCTCCGATCACGCTCTTAATCTCATGGCTGTTAGACGGGAGATAAGGCTGCAATCGTCAACAGATTTGACAGCATACAGGCAACTGACCAGACAGATCTCCAAATGCATGCGGCGAGACTTACGCAACTTTAATACTACTCGTATTAAAGAAGCGATCGAGCGGAACCAGGGCTCCAAAGTCTTTGCCAGAGATCTGTCTGCCAGTAAGAGCCAACTGTCAAAGCTGAAGACTGAGTGTGGTAGCGTCGTTTCCGAGACACCTGAGATTTTGAGTGAGATTGAGAGGTTCTATGGGCAGCTGTACACATCATCGTTAGAGCCACACGCAAGTGTGAGTAACGATCCAAGAGCAAGTCTTACCCGACACTATTCCGATGATATCCCGGACGTCAGTCTGAGCGAGATTAGAATGGCTCTCCAGCACCTTAAAAACGGCAGGGCCCCAGGCGAGGATGGAATTACAGCGGAGCTTCTGAAAGCGGGTGGAACACCGGTACTTGAAGTCCTTCAGAAGCTCTTCAATTCCGTCCTCCATGGTGGCACTACTCCGGAGGCGTGGAGCAGAGGTGCGGTGGTCTTGTTCTTTAAGAAAGGCGACAACGCTCTCTTGAAGAACTATAAACCGATTTCCCTTCTGAGCCGCGTCTACGTGCTGTTTTCGAGAGTCATTACGAATCGTCTCGCACGCAGACTCGAGCGGGTTGGTGACACATACTTGCGGAGAAAGAGTTTTGTATGAGAGTCGTGTTGTGAAAGGGTACAGAAAGATTCCAACTGCAGAGAGTGTAGACAGGGTGAGTTAACCCCGAAGTTTCCCTGCGTTGGAAGACGTTTTCAAGCTACTGGACTGGGAAGGATACGGTATTAACATCAATGGCGAGTACATCAGTCACCTTCGATTTGCCGACGATATAGTCCTTGTGGCAGAATCGCTGGAGGACCTTAGCACTATGCTCAATGACATCAATGGTGCCTCCCAACGGATAGGTCTTAAGATGAACATGGACAAAACAAAGATCATGTTTAATGTCCATGTCACACCTATGCCGGTAGTTGTTGGGAGCACTATGCTCGAAGTTGTTGACGAGTACGTTTACCTGGGACAAATAGTGGGACTAGGTAAGTCCAACTTCGACCGAGAGGTCAATCGACGGATTCAACTCGGCTGGGCAGCGTTCGGGAAATTACGACACATCTTCTCGTCAGGTATACCTCTATCTCTGAAAACTAAAGTGTACAACCAGTGCGTGGTGCCAGTGATGACTTACGGATCAGAGACGTGGTCCTTCACTGCTGGCCGTATGAGGACGCTCAAGGTCGCTCAGCGAGCTATGGAGAGGGCTATGCTCGGAGTTTCTCTGCGTGATAGACTCAGAAATGAGGGTATCCGCAGTAAAACCAGAGTGACCGACATAGCCCAACGGATTAGTAAGCTGAAGTGGCAATGGGCCGGCCATATAGCTCGAAGAACCGATAACCGATGGGGAAGAAAGGTTCTCGAGTGGCAGCCTCGTAACGGTAGGCGTAGTGTAGGGCGACCCCCACTAGATGGAGTGACGACTTGGTAAGACATGCAGGAAGTCGATGGATGCAGGTGGCTCAGGACCGTGCTTTGTGGAATTACTTGGGGGAGGCCTATGTTTAACAGTGTACTTGTGAAGGGCTGTAATGATGATGATGATGATGATGACCGAGGCAAGCGGGCAGAATACGGTCACTCCGTCAACTAAGACAAACGCAGTATACACAGCATCAATATGTTTGGGGTTAGGTGCGTGTGGCATTACATTTGACAGTTGTCTAATCAGCATGGTCCACCAAATAGAAAAATTTTACATAAATAAAGGCCGAAATTTTCTTTGTCAGTGGTATCGTCATGTGATAAATTAATAACGTAACACCGACGTCCCATCTATTTTACCTTAGATGTCTTATAACTTATAAAAAAAACATAAACAATAACAGTAAACAATAAATAAAACAAAGTTGGAGAAGCCATCCTTCGTTTATGCCACATACATGTTGATTTTTTTTATAGGATAGGGTGACAAACGAGCACACAGTCCACCTGATGGTAAATGGTTGCTGTGGCCCATAGACATCTACATCTATTCATGTTGAATATCTCTCGCTCTTCGAAGTTAAAGGGATCTTTAATATTTCACAAGTGGTACCAAAAGGCAAAAAAAACTTTAGATCGCTATACGTAAAATGTCCAACGTACTTAGAAATCGCCTACTGGCTAACTAGCTAGAACGAGCTAGCTAGTTGGACATGTATAAAAATTCTGGAGTGTTTCAATATTGATTTCAAAATAAATTTAACAAACCTGTATTGCTTGCATTATCGAGCGCTGACATGATAGCTCTAGTTCCATAATACGAGTGATGTACTCTTCCTTTTTATTGCAATTAACTGCACAACCTGGTTGATAAAAAATATTATTGAAAAAGACACTATATTAACGAACCTGATGCAGTACCGCTGGCACAAGCCACATCTTCACCTATTGAAGAATTAATAGATCTAGTAAGAATGACACTGCACCAGAACGGAATCACGTGTCGGCGCAACGCGCACGAAAATTCCTAGCATTATTTGGTAAAATTAAAATTCCTAGTTCATTTGGAACTGGTTGGGAGCTAGTACAATAATTTTTAGAATTATTGATGGTTTGTTGCGATTAACAATTATCTTTATTTATAATTTTCTAAAGAAATCTATCGAAAACAAGTGTTTTTTTTTTCTAATTCTAATACGATGGATACTTGTTATCCGCCGTTGTCGTTTTCTCTAAACCTTATTATTTTTTACTAACAATATATTCACAATTATAGTATGTACCTACGCTGATGCACATAAAGTCACCTCTACACGTCGACAAATGCGTCATCCGACGGCATCTGCTCGTATGTGGTAGGTATTTAACGTCGGCAGATGCGTCTGCCGCCAACCCGTTTGTTGTCGGTTTTCGTGGCACGCAAGTTTTCAACGCGAGCGCACGGCGTCTGACCACACGTCTGGCGATGCATAACAGCCTGGCCACGGGACATTCGCCGTAGCGAAAATTCGCGCGGCGCGAACGGCGAGGCGTCTAGCGACTAAAACAAATGTATAGAGATGTATGAAGCATGCGGCGGCGAGTGGCGACGCGACCGGCGAAATTTACCGGGCGAATCGCGCGCGCGACTGGCGGCTCGGCTGGCGAATGAAACAAATGCTCAAGCCACGGAGTCGGGCGGCAGTCGCGGCGGCAGACGCGGCGAATAGTATAGGAACAAAATAGTTTAGTTGTTTTCGCCGCGAAAAATGCCGGGCTGACAAAAACAACTTAAAATTCTATCCGCATTGACTTTTATCTCCAATTCTGGTTGAATATTAACAAGAATATAATCACAGGTTTCAACACTCATTCTGGTACTTACTCGAAATTTTTTTCTAGATGCATTCTATTTGTTGGGGAATTCTCCATCTATAACCCGATTCCTATTCAAATTAAGTACTCCGCAATCTTATCCAAATATTGTCTTGAATCAAAAAACAATTACTTTCTAATCAATATCGAGATAACTTTGATAAAGACATTTCACTCTCGGCCTATCTGGTCGCGGCGGCAAACGTTTCGCCCCGCCTGTCGCTTCGCCGTTCGCGCCGCCGATCCCCGTGGCCAGGCCGTAAGTGCTATCGGAGTTGCGAATTCCATTTCTTTTTAATAACTCTACTGCGATGCACACTTAAGTAGTAGTTAAAAGTACTAAATAAATAAGTAGCAGCTACGCTCTGAATATTCATTTATAAAATGCTGCGTGGTGCGTGCATCCGAGTTGCGTCTGTCGAGAATTAACACAGACTGAACTAGAAATGTGTTAATCATGCATGATTCGCTCGTTTGAGATGGTACACTTAAAAGTATTGATGGTTCATTCATTTGTTTTTGAATGTACCGGTACAACCAATCACAAACAATTGACGGTACCTTTTTAACTCGTGATTGGTGTGAATTGTGAATGAGCCGAAAACCGACCGAATCCCGAATGATCCGAATAAACAGGCGAATCGAATAAACAATGCAGACAGTAGAGTATCAGGAGTATTTTTATTATTTAAGGGTTTTTATTATAATATTTTAATTATATTTTACATTTTATTATATTTATTTGTTACATATATGAGTTAAAAATATCATTTCGTAGGGTTTACTAACAATAACACTTCAAAAGATATGATAATTTTCAACCACCTATATAAGCATAAGATAAAAGTTTAATTTTGTAGCAAATAAATGTTACTTTATTTTTAGACATGTAAAGTAAGATAAAATTGTGTATTGTTAGGAATGAAATTTAAGAATAAACAAATGTATTAAATATTTAAAATATATAATAATATTGCATAAAGTAATCAATCAAAATCAAATCAAATCAATTGAATCACTTGAGGCTTTTGTTTTTATGCCATCTAGCGTCTTTTGTACTTACCACTTTGAAAGTTAATAAATTATTGTTCGATACAATGATTTATTACCTATAGCATGCAATAGATAGCGCTATTACAAAGTCAAATTGAAAACTTTTGGTTCCGAATGGATCTCACAGACTCACAGAGTACTGAAGCCAGAAATGATCCGGTCACTAGAAATGAATGATTGACACATGTCTAGACTGAACGATCTACAGACGTGTGGACGGCTCGTGCTGATTCATCTGCTGACGCATCTGTCGACGTGTAGAGGAGGCATAACAGGAGAAATGGCGGTAGCCACTTCGACGTCCATCTCTTTCTAACTTGTGAACCAATGTGCAAACTTTTTAAGAGAATGCTTTTGGCGTGAGGTTCGCCTGTATTTTAAAGTTCAATAAATATTAAATAAATTAAAATGCGTATTTTATCTTTAAATGAATTATTTTGATTCAATCAAAAATTTCGAGAAAATATTTTTGCAAACTCGATGTTTTTTTATAGAATGGAGGTGACAAGTATGCACACAGTCCATTTGATAGTACTCGTAAGTGGATGATGTGGTCCTTCGATATCTACATTTATCCTCGATTAAGAATCAGAACGCAGATTAGTTGTTTCCAATAGGACTAAGATGGAATGCCTCATTTCCAGTAAAAACACTCAAGTTAAGGTTAAATTGCAGACTTAAATAAGTCTGCAATATTACTTATTGAGTGCTTAACAACATGAACATGTTTCAATAACTAAAATGTACTTATCTAAAGTAAACTAAAGTTACACCCCATATACGTCCCACAGCTGGGCACAGGCCGCCGCTTATTTCTGAGAGGGTTTTAGGGCAAGGAAGTGTCCGCCGCGCTGCCCCAATGCGCGTTGGCGAACTTCACATGTCTTCGAAATATTTTTTCTTTCTTATTTCTCTGACATGCAGGTTTCCTCACGATGTTTTCCTTCATCGCCGCGCACGTGGTAAATCAGCACTTAAAATTGCAATTAACAATTTCATTGGTGTCGGCGGGGATCGAACCCGGTTCGCTCGCGTACTGTGAAATTTACAGTGAGCGCTAACCATCTGTGCTATCACGGCTCACTTATCTAATATATAAAAATTAATATTTGTTTGTTCGTATTTTATGTGCTGCCATACCGGTCATCAGATTGCGGTAAAACTTTGTCAACATATTGCATGCTTTTCCGCGAAGATTGTAGTCATAGTTGGACCCGGTAAATAGCACTGTTGTAGAATCGAGTTATCACACGTGCGAATCCAGGACAGATCGCTAGTGTTATATAAACTCTCAAATTAAAATATATTTCTCATTTTTATTTTATAGGATAGGATGACAAACGAGCACACAGTCCACCTGATGGTAAGTGGTTGCTGTGGCTCATAGTCATCTACATCTATCCTCGATTACAAATCAAAATGCAGATACGTTGTCACCCGTGAGGACTAAGATGGAATGCCTCGTTTCCAGTAAAAAGGGTCTCCGGTTCTCTACACTCATCATACGAAACTCAGCAGCATTAAGCTACTATTTTACGCAGGTATTCTGAGAGAGTGTCATCCTTCCCCGGTTGAGCCGACCCATTTGTGCTACAACTATACTACTAATATAACTGCAGCATGGCTCTACCCCATATAAGTATTTTTCTTGGATGAATGCAACTAATTAATTAGATAGTTGTATAAATAAGAGACTTTCAATGTATGAAGTTCATGACAATAACTTACTGAGAACCAGTTGCAGCAACCGTCCCAAGTCAGCTGGATCAGCATTTTCTGCTATATTGACAACATCAGGTCTTGAAAGCTCTTGTAGGCTTAAATTAAGTATGTCCTGGTGATAGTCTGCAACACAATAAGCATTTTAAAATGTTTGCAACATATTTTTAATATCAACACGATGCCATACTTTTAAGCTGCAAAATTCAAGTTTTCTTTTATTTCATGCATATATTTCACATTAGTATTATTACTTACTCATAACCAAATCATTGCCGCAATTGATTATGAGAATAAAGAGTCAAAATATATAGATAGATAACTCTTCATTGCATCTTTTAACATTAGGTACTTAATTATGTAATTATGAAAAACTACAAATAATGGTCATATTACTTAACCAATTTCAGCCAGATAAACTTATGGTGACAAATTTTAATTTAATAGTTTAAGTGCGATGGTGGTTTGAAAAGTTCTCAGCCCAACTAAGCAGACAAAGAAAATAAAATTAAAAAATTGTTTTATTTTCCTACATGTTCTCCCCTTATCCCAATATGCTTATTCAATCTATGCTCCAGCGCTTCTATGCCGCTTTTATAGGCTGATCTCTCGTACTCTCCAAAAAAACTGCTCAGCCTCAGCTATCACCTCTTCGATTGTGAAAAACTTTCTTCCCGCCAGGCGTTTTTTTAAATTTGGCTGGTCTTCTAACCTAACTCAACTGAAAGGATTTCTGGATGCTCAAGCATTTCTGGGCGGTAAAAAATAACCACGAAGGCTGTGGCAGGAGTTGCGCTGCAATTTGCTCCCGCCACAACCTTCTCACCTATTCAAGTGAAAGGATTTCTGAGTGTAAAGTATGTGAAAAGGAACTCAGGTTCGGGCGTCCTCTTGATCCTGAAAAGGACCAATTGAAAAGGACCTAGCGGATCGGGTACTAAGAAACAGGAATCGAGGCTTCTCTCGATCCGGCCTCCTATCACGCCTACGTTGGGTTCGGGAACAACGTATGTGATCTCCGCAACGGAGTAACACACTAGGGCGATAACCTCTTCCTTTTCAGCAAGTAGGTTCAGACGGGGATTACGGGTCTTCCGAAGTCGTCCCGGTCCCGACGCCTTAATTCTTCGATGTGGACTGTATAACTTAAAGGATCTTGGGAATGAAACAGCAATTATCTTCAAACCGTTCCGTGAGAGAGTAATCACTTTTCCCTATACTGCTGGTTTTTCACTTTTCTTGAACTTTTTCCCGGATTTTCTTATTTATTTCCGAACTATTTCCGAACTTCCCCGAAGGATTCCCGAACGATTCCCGAACTTCCCGAACGAATTGCAATAAAACCCGTTCACTAAGCTACCCCAGAGCTATACGCGAAAGTGAGCCGCGCCATTCGCGCGCTTGCGCAACTCAATTACATGAATTTGTTCTATTACTCTCTCACGTTTTACTCAATATCTTTATTTATTCAAATCATATACAAATACAATTTATCAATATAGGTAGTACAAAACAATATCTACACCATGATATACATCATATCTTCATATCATAAAAAACCTTTTATTTATTAAACGAAAACTGCCTATTTTACTCACAAGTTCGAAATCGAAATTTCTTAAATATTTAACACAGAAAGTTAAAACAATGTTTCTCACTTGAATTTATACATAAGCTAACCAATACAATAGTTTAATTTACATTTTTTCTATTTATTTCACTATTTAAAACACTTTTAAATTTCTTATACAAAACTATCATTATTTCACTTATACACAGGAATTTTCACATGAAAATAACACAGAATTTACCTTTTTAGCACGTACAATTAACCTGAAATATTTTACAAGTAATTTTTACATAAATCACTGAATTACAAACATTTTAAATTTTTACATATTCGGCCTCCTAAGGGCGTGGCCAGCGTGCTTCTGTGTACTCACGCTATGTGAACAACTAACTTTGCACGGCTCTCGGCTATCAGAAAAAATTAAATTATGAAATACACCAATTTTGACCATATTAGGCAAATTAAATGCTTTTATACAATTTTCGAACTGTATGAAACTATCTTTAATCAGATAACAATATAAATGAATGTTCTCATTAATCAATCATAACAAATAGGCATTTGTTTTCGTACAAAACGTATCAAACTTATACAAAACAACATTTATGCAATTAATATCCATTAATTCTGCCTATGCACAGAGTGATTATCTCGACCGGGGAACAAATCCGATCTTTAACTTCACTTTAATATTCTTATGAATTTACATCATTTGAAAGATGATTTCAACCGGGGAACAAATCCGGTAACATAATTTATATCTTAAATTCCTTACGAATTTATTAAGCGATATTACTTAGGAAAACAAACAAACTAGTCCGGCCTGGGAGTCGAACCCAAGACCTTCATATCATTAATTCGACATTTCTTAAAGATTTAACTAAGCATTCTCTTATCAGAGCGTCGTTGCTCGTGACTGCCCCTTTTTTCATAGCAACTTCATCGGTTGATTTAATAAACTGAAACATTTTTATAGGCGCGTCGCCAACAATCTCCCCCCCGTGCGTTAGCACCATCATTTGGGAGGCGTCGCGGGTACCAGGACTATTATTCTGGATGTAGGTCTCCTCAAGATACCTGTGCTAGTAATGACGTCAACCACTCTGGTGTGACCGTCTGGTCCCGGTAACGTTCTACTAATTTTACCTTTTGGCCACGTATTTCGTGGCAACGAATGACCTATTATCAAAACAATATCGCCTTCTTTAGGTTCCATGAACTTGCCGTTATCACCTGTTCGAGGTATTAACGTAGGCATGTATTCTTTCAGCCATCTTGTCCAAAAATGGTCGGCTAACCTCTGTGCAGCTTTCCAATTGAGTTGACCCGTCAGATGTCGCTCTAAAAATAATCCAGGTGGTCGATCACCACATGAGCGTCCCAGAAGAAAATGATTGGGTGTCAAACCCTCTTCAGGACTATCCATACTGAATGTTACCAGAGGTCTGGAATTTACCGTATGCTCTGCTTCTAAAAGTAACGTATGTAGAACCTCCTCTCGTGGGCTCTTCTCCTTAAGCGTAGCGGTCAACGCAATTTTAATCGATCTTACTAACCTCTCCCAGGCGCCACCCATGTGCGGTGCTCCCGGAGGTATAAATTTCCATTTAATATATTTCTTAAATGACTCGTTTTTCATGCCCTCATAGCATTCTTCGCATGCTTTCAATAATTCTTTATTTGCAGCTTTGAAATTTGTCCCGTTATCGCTGTATATAACGGCTGGTTTTCCTCTTCTGGCGATAAATCGCCTTAACGCCATTATCATTGACGCTGGTGTCAATGAGGCTGCTAATTCCAGATGTACTGCTCTGGTGGTCAGACACGTGAATAAAACGCCCCAACGTTTTTCGTGTCGCCTTCCTATAGTCACACTCATAGGACCAAAATAATCTACAGCTGAGCATGTAAAAGGTGGCTCATGATGAGCTATTCTTTCCAGAGGAATATTTCCTTGTGGCACGTTTTGCGGCTTTGACCTGTATGTCCTGCACCACTGACAATGGTGTGACACACTTCGTACTACATTACGCAAGTTCAAGACGTAAAATTTCTGGTTCACCTCATTCATCACCGTCTGGTGATTGGCGTGTCCAAAATGATGATGAACTTCTCTAATCATCATTTTAACGATTTCGTGTTTACCGTCTAATATGACAGGTTTTCTACTTTCCTCGGTCAAATTAGACTTGAAAGGTAAACGTCCATTTAAACGGAGTAAGTTATCCTCTCCTATTTCCATAGATAATTTACTTAAGCGTGAACTTCTTTCAACGCTTTTGCCTGCTTTCAAACATTTTATTTCCGAATGAAAACACTCGTCTTGAATGAATTTCCAAATTAATATTTCCGCCTTTTTCAAGAGCGCTGTGTCCAACGCGCTATCGGGTCCTTTAACCGACTTTGCTAAAACTTTGTTGGAACACATAACCGACTTTTCGGTTGCGTCGTCGGGTCCTTTAACCGACTTTCTTAAACTCTTGAATTTTTCTACCGCTTGTAAGGTGCGTGTAGTTGCTCCAAGGAATTTCTTAAAGCTGCTAAATCGTCCGTAGTCGGGTAGACTTAACGGTTCTTGCTTTCTTAACGTATTTACGCCCTTTGGCGATTTTTCTTCACCTGTTTCTAAGCTATTTATGGTGTCCACTTGTTTGGGCCATAAATCAGGACTTTTCCTGAGGAATTCAGGTCCTTGAAACCAGCGATGACTTACATCGAAGGTGGAAGGAAAATTTCTAGTGGCGTCGTCTGCCACGTTTTGTGACGTTGGAACCCATCGCCATTCACATGGCTTACTGTGATCTTCGATCTCAGCCAATCGATGAGCAACGAATGGTTTAAAAGCGCGAGGATCCGACTTAATCCACGCTAACACTGTACGTGAGTCTGTCCAAAACACTCTCTCGGACATCTCGTACTTGCTCTCTTCACTAACCGAAGCAGCCAGTCTGCTGCCCATAAGAGCTGCTTGCAATTCAAGCCTTGGAATCGAAATTGGTTTCAATGGCGCTACTCTTGCCTTTGCGGCGATCAGCGTAATCCGCCTTATTCCTTGCTCGTCCGTGGTGACGTAATACACCGCGGCAGCGTATGCTTTTTCACTAGCATCCGTGAAAGTATGTAACTCTCCTTTGCCGATGCCTTCAGCAACGGGTCTAGGTACTTCTAAGTGACCTAATTTCTTCACTTCCGATATCCATTTACAAAATAACACGTGTAACTCGTGTGAAACTTCTTCATCCCAAGAGATGCCTGTCCTCCATACTTGCTGGATCAGCGACTTCCCTTGAATCGTTATGGGTGATGCGAGTCCCAAAGGATCGAAGACTGACATCACAGCGCTAGTTATCTCCCTCTTCGTAGGCGGTCGTAAACCCTCCATCACCTCTTCCGGTGTGCTACGAAGACTTGTGGAAAAACTTATTATATCCCGTTTGATATTCCAAATCAAACCTAACGTGCGCTCTGTGTGCTCTTTATCTCCAAGCGAAGCACTGTCGCTCTTATATTTATTTTCCATATTACTTAAAACTTCGGGTCGGTTGCTAGCCCATCC